TCTTGCATCCCACCCACGGACTTGGCCTGCCATTGAGCTCTCGCACTCCGTGACTTTCCTCTCATCTTCTCATCTTTCCCTCATTCATAGAAAATACGCGTTCCTTGGAATATTCTGCCGGTTTGGAATTCAACGATGCTCAGCAGGCCCTTCAACGCTGCCATCAGGAGCTCTCGATACTAAATCGTCAACCACTTACCCGTCAAACGTCAACTTTCGAATCACAATGTTCTTCCGCTGGTCTCGATTATGGACGCTGCTCTGCCTGCTTTTGGTAATACAGCAAGTCAGTGGCGAGATCTTCAGATTGGCTCCACGACAGGATGAGGAGCAACCACGAAAGACAACAGCCATCGAGTCCGACCCAACAACACGAGAGAGTGAACAGGCCACCAAGACGGAAGCTTCTGTCAAGAAGACTGAGGCTCGAGAAACTACATCAGCTGAAGCCGAGTCCAAGACCGAGTCCGTTTCAGTTACCACCACCGAAAGCGAGGGAACTGAAACTGAGACCGCCGACGCTACATCAACAAGCGGATCTCTTGAAGACGATGCCGGCTTCAACTCGACTCTCTACAATGGTAATTTTTGACAACAACTTTTCAAGTATCTGACTGACAAACCCAACAGCCACAATCCCTGCTGGTCAACTGCCCATTACGCCGGTGCTTACTCCTGGCTGGGGCGTTGCTGGTACCATCCTGCTCCTGACCGGCATCGCGCATGCCCTGGTTGGTATCAGGAACCGAATGATTCACACCTTCTTTTCGACCGCGTTTTCTGCCGCATTGGGCGTTACCGTGCTCATCGTCTACGTTATGAAACCCGAAGTGAGCAATGGTCTACAGGGAGGATATGTGGTTGCCGTCGTGCTCTCAGGATGTCTTCTTGGTGCAGCTTCCATGTTCTTTCGAGAAATCACCGAAGGGCTTGGCTGCGCATTGGGTGGCTTCTGCGTTAGTATGTGGCTCCTGTGCCTGGTTCCTGGCGGTTTGCTCGGACCTGTCGCATCCAAGGCTATTTTTATCGCCTGTTTCACTTTGGGTGGCTTCGTCTTCTACTTCAGCCACTGGACTCGAGACTGGGCTTTGATTCTCATGATCTCTTTTGCCGGTGCCACAGTCACTGTAATTGGTATCGATGCCTTCAGCAGGGCCGGTCTCAAGGAGTTCTGGGCCTACGTTTGGGATTTGAACGATGACCTTTTCCCGCTTGGTGCTGATACATACCCAGTCACCAAGGGTATTCGAGTTGAGACGGCAGCAATCATCATCATCTTCCTCTTCGGCATCGTTTCCCAAATTAAGCTGTGGAAGGTTGTTCGAGAAAAGCGTGAGAAGAAGGCCGAGGAGGAGGCTGAGGGTCAGCGGAACCTTCGGGAAGAGGAGGAAAATGTCGGCCGAAACATTGAAGAGGCCAACGCTCGAGAACGACGTCAATGGGAGAGAGTCTATGGAGATGGCGATATCGGAAGCTCAACAGCCTCGCGCACTTCAGATGACGGCGAGATCTCAACAGAGAAGAAGCACCGCGACAGCCAGACCGACTCTTCAAAGAGACAGTCCGCTTCAATTGTCGAGGTTATTGAAATGACGACCATGACAGATCCGGAGCCGCCCAAGAAGCCAGCTCCCGTCACCTTGATGTCCTCGGAACAAGACATGGACGGTAGAGTGACGGTTCGCGTTGCCTCTGATGATATTGCTCGACCTCTCAGCCAGGTTGATGAGAAGGCTCTCAGTGCACACCACGATACTCTCTCAGTTGCCAACGAGTCTGTCGACAGGCGCGTGTCTCAATCCTCATCGGCTCCTAGGTCTCCCGCTCCTCAAGTCATCCCTCTTCCGTTCACGATTCCCGTTGCCGCCGACGATGATGATGATGCCATCTCCGATGCCGAACGCTCCTCAGTCGCAACCTTTGCCGATGATGAAGATGCCGAGCCCCCTACAGGTCACCGCCAGTCACTTGCTAAGAGACTATCTCGCCTTTCTCGTGGATCGATGGAGTTGCTGGGAAATATCTCGCATCGGTCCAGCCGTGTCCTTGGCGAAGACCATGAACACGACCATGGCCACAGTGGAAGCACCGAGGATCTTGTGATCCCACGTTCTCGACCTCGTGACGATGATGGCTCGGTCGCGGCGACAGTCGATGACGAGAGTCTGAGCGCTGGCGACCGCCGTTCCCTGCCTGGTACTGAACCACCCAAGAGCATTGAGATCAATGCCGAGCTCTCTGGAAAGGATGACCATAGCAAGTTGAGCCCGTCCCCGAGTCATCAGACTAGGTTCCTCGAGGTCGACACAGCCAGCAGCGCTGCTAAGCATACCAAGGCCGAGCATACGGAGGAGCAGGCTTCTGAAGCCCTTGACAAGGCCAAGTCCGCAACATCCGGTTCTTCGGCCCGTGTTAGCTTGACGAAGGATCGCCTGCCAAGGTCATTGTCTAAAGTTGCCTTGTCTTATCGAACCAACGAATGGGCCAAGCACTTGAGCCAAGCTGATGCCCCGGAGCTTGACGACATTCACATCGACGTTCCTCGAAGCCCTGCGGTGCCGACTATCGAAACCCCCGCTCCCGTTCATGTCAATGAGCTGCAAAAGTCAGCCCACGAGGGAACACCCGCACCTGCTATCGCACGATCCGACTCTCAGATGTCCAACATATCTCATTCTGCCTCTCGACGCAGTGTGAGGCAAAATGTCCCCGCAGCCCTCGCTATTCTCAATGGCGAGGGGCAAAACCGCAGCCCAGGCACGACGCCTACCAGTGCCGCTGTGCCTCGATCTGCCTCCATGGGCCTGCGTCGAACCTCGAATGGCATTGAGCCAATTGCCGAGGAGCGTGATGCTCCTAGTCTGACTCCTCCCATCCCTGAGGGACAGGCTGTGCGATCTCATTCTCTTAGCCCGGCTCCTATGCCAGATGCCCACCGTTCGTCCACTCCAGGTCTCGTCTCGTACTCGAGCCCTCAGACTCTCCTCGGCCAGCGCGAGATGTACCTCCGCAACAAGTCTCAAGGAAACCTCCTGGCAAGCACTTCCGAAGTCAGCCTGAACAACCCGTACAGAGCTTCCAGCGATGCCGGTTCTCTCAACAACTATGCCATGTACGCTGCCGGTGTTGGCGCAGATGTAGATGATCTACCTCTGAGTCAACGAAAGCAACTCATGCGCCAGAGCAGCCTGAACCCATCAACCTCTACACCTTCGTTGCAGCGCCTGAGTGGCGGAAGTGGCAGTGGCGGCATTGGTCTCAACAGCTCAGAAGCGCCCTTTGACTCTCACCAGCCCAAGCGCGTATCCACACTCCCTACTTCTTCTGAGCGCGAGGCCCGTATGGCCAACTTTCGAGAGAGTGTCCGCCAGGACCGTCTTGCGGGCGCCCCAGTTGTCAACAGCACAGGACGAGAGACCCCATTCACGCCTATGTCGCTCCTTGCCGGCAGGGAAACCGAGGTTCAGCGCAACGTCGAGATGAGCCGCAACATCCTCATGAGCCAAAAGGAGGCTGAAGCTCAGCGACGTGAGATGGAGCAGCGAGAGAAGGAGTGGAATGATCGAGCCTTTGACGAGCGCATGCGAAGCGGTGATCTTCTCGGAATCCACCGTGAAGCCATGCGAAAGATGCAACGACACGCCAAGGACAAATGATGAGGTCCTTACCTTACACCAACTCAACTCTCTGATGACAGCCAGAGCACAAACACAAACACACTTCTCTGTAACGATCAGAGACACCAAGTCACATTCATTTTCACGTTACATTTTTATACCATCTTTCAACATGTTATCACTTTGACGCATTATTGATACCAGGGGTTTTCATGTCAGGGATTCTGAAAAAAAGCGGGATTGGTCAAGGTTTCAAGATCAAAAACGACACTCGGGTTGGCGGAGGTTCAGGTATACAGGTACATTATATAGAGGGTGTGCGTGTGTGTCACTGTAGCGCATCGCCGGCGTTAATTTGGCGGGTTATAATTCTAATGGTTCTGGTCTTCCTGGTTGGAGGACACGGTGATGGCCAGGTGTCTTGTACATGGTGGCTTTGGCAGAATCACAATTTTATGGATTATTCACAACCATGGCTTCTTTTCTTATGGGACGAATGTGTATTGTTGTGGCTCGTGAAAGTCCTTGAACTATCTTCTGAATCCTTGACTAAAGACTGAAACCTGTGAGCGCCGACGCCGTCGCCTGCAATGATGCTGAGCTCGCATGGGGGGGTATGATGGCAGATTAAACACAATAAACAAATAAAATGACTATCGAATCAAGTGTAGTATGTTTTGCTTCTGGTGACCTGGGTAGTTGACGTTGGTGGTTACGTAGCCCAACCATACTTGCTTTCCTACTGTCGGTATGTTTGTGCTAGCATGGTCTCGACGGTGACAGATTGTCCAGATGTCGATGAAACAAGTAGACTCGTCTCGGGTGTAGACACAGATAGCTGGGTTTGGTCATCGGACCACGCGCGTGTCTGGATATGAGAAGGTTCCGTTGAGAGGTCTGCCGTATCCCAGTGGGGGCTGTTGACCACAGAGGGTAGAGACTCGAGGGGGAAACCTCGTTCGAGTTGAGGATGCCTGTTCTTCTTTCTTCCGAAACTGAAAGAGGGGATAAATGGTAGCGGTATTGTGGGAAAGTCGAAACGGGTGCGGAAGAGAAAGGGGTTGGGCGTTGGAGAGGTGAGAGGCTCCGGTGCTCTGTTGAGGGCGATGGCCGAGGGGGCCGTAGGAGGAGGATAGGAAACATCCCATGGATTTGACTGCGATGCTTGAGGTTGGACAGATTCGGGCCCTTGTTCGACGTCTTGATTCGCGAGAGTGAGGTCGATTGAGTGCATGGGAGCATTACGAGAGCTTCCTGCTGATGATGTGCTCAGACTGGGAATGTGTCGCGAGGACAGAAAGCTTCTGAGCTTGCTCTGTGGAGGAGAACTGCTTCAGTTAGTTAGTGTCTTGCAGCAAATATTCACTGTCACTCAAGTGAAAATTACCTCGAAGCACCTGTGGACATCATCAGATGAGTGTTGCCGGAACTGCTTCCGTATGCGTCCCTGTCAGGATCGTACTCTTCGTGAAGCTTGGGAAAGATGTAGCCAAGACCGATGAGGAGTAAGCCGAGGCGGTAGCTGTTCATGGCATCCTTTGTAGTGCCAAAGAAGATGAAGACAGGGATTGTCGCAAGGATGGTGATGTAGCAGCTGTTCATGTAGACAAAGGGGACGCCATTCGAGGGTAGAAAGATGATGTTTGACCACATGTTTGGGAAGGGTTGATTGTGGATGAGATGGTAGTCGAAAGGTTGGAGGGGGAAGGCAACCATGAAGTTGATGACGGCGAGAGTGATGATTATGGGTAGAAAGGGGACCAGGATGGAGATGACCATTAGATAGAGTCGGCGCTTGGTTCGTTGAGCCCGTTGAGTGGTGAGCCGGTTGCTGCTGACAGCCGAACGGGTGGCCCTTGCGACCTCTCGGAAACGGATATAAGTCAGGACTGGAAAATATGTGTTGGATTATCTCACGGCTGGATGAAGAAACAAAGGGAGACTTACTTGCGTATCCTGAAGTCATGATGGCAATAACCACAGGGGCAGTGACGAAAAAGACAATGTAAGGCCACGACGGTGAGGCAACCCAACTACATCCCACCAGAGTACCGACGACATATCGTTGAGCGGTAAGTGGCCAAACCCAGCAAAGCTGAATGATGGGAAGAGGGAAGATGATGAGTGCCTGAACAAGGTGACGACGACGCTTCTCGCGGACGGTCAGGGGGTTGGCTCGCAAGAGACCGACTTGCTGGGCGAGGTTGCGCATCATGGCGAGCAGACAAGTGACGAATAGAGCAATGTTGAAGTTGTGAATATAAGGGCTGAGATCGCAGAGACCATATCCAGGCCACCAACTGTCAGTGTCATCGTTTCTCCAGATCAGGGCGTTAACGATGGTGTCGAGGTTGGTCACTTCGATGTTGAGGATAAAGACGACGGCTGCGAACTCGCTGTTTCGGTAGAGATGCTTGAGTGGTACGAGACAGACGATGTTTGCGAGAGTGGCGAGTAAAACACGACAGATAAAGTTGGCCGTGAGAGCGGGAGTGGTGATGGCTTCAGCTTCGCCGGCCACAACGATCCAGGAACCGTCACGGCCGAACAAGTGGTCTGAGCCAGCCATGACGAATAATTGATATGAAGCTTTCTCATAAAAAGGTTTCAAAGTATGAAGTTTCGTCAAAGCACACACCTTGTGGTAAAGAAAGGTTGGAGAAGGATGTGACTGGAAACCGTTGCGTCTTGGCTCAACGGTTGATCAAAGCGGGAAACGCAGGGGCCTTTCTTCTATTAAAAAAGGGCAAGATATTTTTGTTGACTTTTTATACAGTCGCCTTGCATCAATTACTTATTGCCTAGGACCCGGGAGGCCGGATCCTGGCCAAGGTGGGCGTGTTGAGGCGCATCTCAATAAGAAGCAGCCTCAGATGCCACATTTGGGATGATATGAATTACGGGCCCTGAATTAGAGGCTTGAATAAGCTAGACCATTTGGGTCATATACGAGCGGGAGTGACAACGTTTGGGCAGTGCCCACCAGGGGCCGTTATTGAGGATCTGGAGAGGTCTTATTCAGGTCCGAATGCGGTAAGTCGATCGGACCAGGGGCGTGGAGGTGAGTAGATCGGCAGTTTGGTGATCAGACCGGCATGTAGCATGCAGGCTCTATAAAAATAAACAGGAGGCGCCGGGGTTTGCGCCTTCAGGGCTTGAACGTGCGCCTGTCACTTTTGGCGCATGGGTCATGGTGTTGATTTGAGGCATCTGGCCCGAAGGTGGAGAGGAAACAAGGTTATCAACCATGGACAAGGCTTGGCTGTGATAATTGGAACTGGAATTATACTGAGATATTGAATGTGCGTTGTTGACTCGGATGAAATCTGGATTTAGTGAACCAGGCACTGCATCTTGGAACACGATACATGGTATCTTGTTCATGATGGACTGCCTGTTCAAAGAACTGGTCGAGATGAGGTTGTAAACACAAATCCTTATACTCAATAATATGCGTCTACCCAATCAATCAACTACCGAAGAGATTTCGCGAGCTTCAGCCAATCAAATAACGCATTGAGAGAGCCCCCCTAATCTCTGGTCAAGTGCCCTATCGCGTCTCAGAATTTCACCGACGCGACAAGCTTCCCCAGCCCGAGCGCTATCAACCTGGCGTAGTACGACTCCGCTCCAGCATTATCACCAAAAAAACCCATCACGACAACCACCCACCTCGTCCAAACAACCCCTCAACAAGCCCCTCGCAAACATGTCCTTCTCCGCCCTCCGTCGCGCCGTTGTCGCCCCGGCCTCGTCTGCCGCTCGCGCCTTCAGCACCACCGCGCCTCGCCCTCTGGCCAAGATCACCATCATTGGTAACCTCGCCGACACGCCTGAGCTGCACTCGACCAGCACCGGTCGCGAGATCGTCCGCTACGCCGTCGCCAGCAACAGCGGACCCCGCGATAACCGCAAGACCAGCTGGTTCAAGGTCACCAGCTTCTCTGAGGGCCCTAGCCGCGACTACCTCATGAACTTGCCCAAGGGGTGCGTATTTTTTCCCGCTTCCACTCGAGGAACCCGTGTCCATGCTGACAATGATACCGTAGTGCTACTATTTACGTCGAGGGCGATGCCACTGTCAACACTTACACCGACGCTCAAGGCCAGACCCGTACCGGCTTCAGCGTTGTTCAGCGTATGTAACACAATCTCCCTTGCGATAGCGCATTTTTCTAACTCTGCGCTTCAGGCTCCCTTGAGGTCCTTCGACGCCCCCAGGCTCCTGAGCAGGGCGAGTAAGCGGACTTTGGTTGTTTGTTAAGCATGGACAAAGTACACTACGCGGCGCAATGCCTCTCCCCCATGTTTCTCTCCTCTCTGTAACGGATGGTCGCTTTTTTCTCTGGATGTCTTGTATGGGTTGTAATGTACGATGAGGCTTACACGCAACCGTCCGAGAGGCTGTATGATACCATGATACGATAAACTTGTTAAACCTGTTTGGAAAGCTTGCACTAGATGACCGTTTGTTGTGAGTGATGTATATGTTTACGTTGCGCAGTTTTAATGGGCCTCACATTCCACACGATGGTTCTCGGAGTAAGCCTGTTGTTCCCCTCGCCGCAGGCCTGGCATACTGATAACCGTTTGCTGTGACTCGTTCTTGAGCAAGATACTCGGCGCATTCATCAAATCAGCCTCTGTCGGTGATATTAAGCTCTGGACAGGGGAACACAATGGTTGTTTGTGTAAACCAACCAACAATCAGACATGAGGGTGTGGTTTGGAAATCTAATCGTTTGGAAGACAACTGCAACCAACCAAGTTATGGTTTGCTCTACACCATCTATTCTCAACGGCAATCACCAACGTAGGTGACACTAGCTTACACCAACGTGCAGCTGTCCATGCACCCAAAGCCAGCCGCGACGCCACCCTCCTCACTCTTGTCACCCTTTGTCCGCAGCAAGTACCCAGCCTCCTCATTGTGCTGAATCTTCCCAGAGCTCTGATCCCAGACACAAGTGCCGTAAATGCCCAACTCGCAGATGACGCCACCTTGCTCCAGGCTGCCATTACGAAGGATGATGTTGGAGACGGGAGGAGGTGTGATCAGCTCCATCAGAATGTACGAGTTCCAGTGGGACTCGGGAATCGACTTGAGGAAACCCGGAATGGAACCTCGGTAGATGTTGTTGCCGCCTCCCTCACGCTGTGGCTTAAGAACATAGGCTTGGCAGGCTTCTGGATCAAGTGCCTTCTTGCGAGCCTCAAGACCTGCGTCACTTGTGTCCATGGGGTAGATATTGGTAAATGTTCGCCACAACTCAGCAGCAGCGTCTGTGTCGTCGCGGATAAACCGACTAAGCGCAGATGGCGCAGACGCAGGACGAGGTGTAGCAAGGATCTGCTGCACCTTTTTGGTTCCAGCCAACTGAGTCAAAACTGTAGGGCACTTGATGGCGTTGGATCGCTCCAGATGGTACCGAGCTTCCCAAGCTTGCTGGTCTGGGTAGTCAGAAGGCCCATATCCGGACCTCATGTAGATAACAGCCACTTCATAAACCTTGGAGGGGTTTCGAGGAAGACGATACAGCAGCTGCCGCTTCGGGGTTTTTGCGATTTCAGTGTGCTTTAGGATTTGGGAGTATGGCAGCCTGAAGATAGGGGTGGATGGCGATGAGCTGATAACCTGATACTCCAAATGACGCTGATCAAAGATGTTTCTCTCTCCATCTTGCACGAGGAAGATGACACACGTTTGATGGCCGAGCTCAGACTTGGGGTAGGCGTTGTAGGCTGCCTCGATGCCAGCCGCCAAGCCACGGGTGCTGGTGTTGTCGGGCAGATCCAGCGAGCCTTGAGGAATGGCATTGTCCAGAAGGGGGTATTCTGTTGTGGCGAGGTACCTGGTGATATCAGAAGCTGTTTATGTGCATGTTAGGGAGAGTCAAGACACGCACTTGTGAAGACCTGACGTATAAGTCGAGAGTCCACCAAACGAGGAGGCAATGGTGTTGAACTCGACTTGCTTTACTTGAAGCGAGGGGGGAGAAGTGTGCGTGTCTTGGTGAACCATGTAGTCTGAGCGGAACAGACCAAGAGACAAAGGCTTTGATATGTTAGAAAGAAGTAGAAGTGGCCGAGGATGAGACTTGCCTGGGTATATCCCTCAGCCTTGACCTTGAGGTGAACATCCCACAGGTTGCGAATAAACTCGTCACCATCTGCAACCCTTGGAACAATTCAGAAAATGCGACATGCTGGTGATGATGTTCACCTACTCTTTGACGACCTGGGCCAGAAACTCCTCATCCCTGCTCACAGAAGCATACAGCTCATTGTAAGTCTTTTGCACTGCCTTGCCCTGGGCGAAACACTGCTTCGGAAACGGGCTGGGAAAGAGGGTGACGGGGACATTGACGGCGGCGATGCCCTTGGGATCTGCCTCGGCGGCTATGACTGTAGGCGGAGGCCTGACTGCGAGGCCATTGCCTATCGACCAGTCCTTGACGGTCTCGACGAGGGCTTCCTTTTCTTCGGCCTTGAGGGTGGGGGGATATGCCCCGCTTGTGAGGGAAGCCATGGCAGACGAGGTTGACTGTGAGCGTAGAGGTTGTTTGAGAGACCTTTAGGCCGTTTAATGAGAGATTCTGGTCTGAAGGAAGGGAAAATGAGGTTTCTCAACAGTGTATCGACGACCCGCTAGCCGAAGGGGTAGGTACTCTTTTGCGTGATCGGGATGGGTAGCGCCGGATGGGGTGGCTTAATAATTCAGTGGGTGCTTCTAGACACAATTGGAGGAGGACTTTCTGTGAGACGCGTGGGTAACATGCTCTATAGTGGATGTTGAGGCTACTTTAATCTTTTGCTTATTCAGTCTTTACTTGCTAATAGATGGTTATCTCTGCATAGACATGAAGATATTTAAAGGTCAATGCTTCCTTGGACCCCAGTCACCTAGAGAGTTGTATGCTTTGATTGCCATTCGCGGGGTATCAAGCTGTCCTTGTACCGTGATTGTTTTGCTACTGCAGTCCCACTGTAAGAGTAGGTAGGGTTTCCCCCCTACAGCCTGCAGGTCATCCAATGGATTTGTTCCTTACCAGCGTACTTCAACCGTGAGGCGCCTACATAGGTGCTTAACCATCAAGGCCACCGATGAAAGCAACGAGATCCATAGGCGGAAGGTAGATGCACTTGTCCGCCTTGGTGGGGTAAACGGGTGATTGCTCACTGCTGCATTCTTAGTGTAAATCCTACTTCCCGCAATTGACTGGGCGTATGCCTCCTGAGTTGTTTCATATACAAGGTGTTTTCCGTCATTGGCCTCACTCAGCGGCCTCCAGCCAACTACCAACTGTACCAACATGAAGTGAATGCTCAATGTTGCATCCATCCCAAGGTACCTGTTGGCGGGGTCTTGATATCACGTGCATGCCCGCAGACTGCCCCGCCGACGAGATCGCCCCTGGCGCACCGTGTCAAACAGTAAACGCGCTTGGCACGGAGGCTTGAGACGGGAAAAGAGCTGCAGCCATCCATTTGCTCTCATCATTCGACTTTTGCGATACATCAAATCCTCACTCTTACTTTATCCGCAGCTTCAGCGCATTTATCAAGTAACGTGCAAGAGCTCATCGGCGTAGCATCTCTTGAACCGCGAGCTTGTGCACTGGCTGCATTTCGCATCGCGGCTCATTGATTGTCACTTCTCCAAACGTCGTCTGTTTGGCCTGCGAGCTTGAGGCTTAGTTTCTCCAACCCACGCAGCCAGCTGGAGGCTATGCGCTTTTCCTCACATTTCTGTATCAATCGCTGGGCCTATGCCCGGCCCAGCTCATGGTCTTAACCAGTACCCCCCGTGAGTTGGCCCCGTTTGTTCATCTCTTCTTTTTCATCATCTTCACAACCACTCCCCCCGATATTGTATTGACCCGCAAATCAGAAACACCAGCTATTGCGCTCTCTAGAGCGCACGCGCAACTCCAACATGGATGGCATCGAGGCCCAAGATCCCTTTCTCTGGGATGTCGACACTGTGGCTCGCAAACTTTCCACTCCTGACTGGCCATGGGGGCGTGATCCTTCGACTCTGGTTGCCCATGTTCAGGAGGAAGAGCTTGATGGGAAAACCTTGTTGACCTACGACCATACCTTCTCGCGCAAGGAACTGATGGAGTGCTTGGGCATCAAGCCCGCCCGCCACAAGGCTGCCCTCGCAGAGGCCATCGTTGGCTTTCGGTCTAGGAGCCGCGCATATCAGCAATGGTTTCAGCTCTACTCTCGACAGGAATCCGGATACGTGGATGATGAGCCCAAGGAACCAGCGCAGGGGCTCAAATCTATCCTAGCTTTTCCAAATGGAGACCACCAAGGTTCGGGTTCTGGATCATTCTCTGTCGGGATTAACGGAGAGCAAGTTCCAAAGACTTTCGCGCCGAACGGCACTGCCTCTGGGACTGATACATTTGAGAACTCAGCACAACAAGGCCCGTCGAACGAGGCGCAGCTACCACCACAGTTGGATGGCCAACTTGTCGTCAGAGCGCACATTGATACTCCTGCGAATGTCGAAACTACCGCCTTGACACGAGAGAATGCCGATGATGATAGGTCCGTCAAGCGCCGTCGAATTGTCCCTACTCTTCTCGACAGCAAGCCGCAAACCGTTACTCCCGCTTTCCTCCCCTCCGCAGCGGACGTCCTCGACTACTCTGCGAAGCCAGATTCTGACTCCAAGTCTAAATCCGACCTGGCGCTGGAGCAAGCCGGTGCCCACAGATACCCCTGGGAAAGGGCTCCTCCATATGCTTATCTCGGAAACGGCAAAATCTCAACCGCCGACATCACGGATTCCACGGTCCCACTGAGCTCGAACCTTTTGGAGTTTGAGGACGGTGCATTCGCGACTACTACGGCAACTAAGCCTCCGCCTGGCTTGAGAAATGTGGTCTCTCGTATTCTCAGACATGTCATGGTCAGCAACAGTCGTGAACCCGCCAATTTGTCAAGGGCGTCTAGTCCAGAATCCCAGGCATCCAACCACTCCGACCCTGTTCTTCATTGGTCAGACATGGACGAAGATTTTGATGAAGAAACTTGGAACGAGATAGAGGCGGAAGCGCTCGAGAAGGAGCAGGCAGAGGAAAGTCAATCAGTTCCCACCCTCATCTCGGACGAGCGCGTCAGGGAGATCTTGGATGAGGCCATTCAGTCCATGGAGGCTACCTGGCAGGAGACCAAGCTGCCCAAACATGAGCGAACAGCCTCCCGCTTGTGGATCAACGCTCGACGTACGGGGACAAAGAATCATCAGGTTCGCCATGCTCACATCCAGGCCAAACACTCCAGCGACAAGATAGAAGAGTTCTGTACAGAGATTGTGAAGGAGCAGTGGAAGAAGGAGGTTCGGGTCCGAGACCAAGCGGTGATTCTCCAGCAAACTATCGAAAACAAGGCATACAATGTGTGGCTGATGGGTGTGCTGGAGTCTTCTCGTCCACCTCCCAAGCCAAGCAGACTTGCTCGACCGAGACAGGTGGCTGTGCAACAGACAGAACTCCCGTTGGGTGAAGAGATCCTTACCAGCTCTGACGAGGATGATTTTATAGTCCCCGATGAAGAACCGGAGCCAGAAGACCATCCGATGGGCATGGGAGAGGAGGATGTGCCAGCTGGGCCAGGTTCGCGGCCTGAATCTATGAAAGCAGAGTCACCAGTGGCCCCAGACTACATGGACCTCACACAAGACCTCTCTGCCGCAGCTACGCCCGGAGGCCATGGCTTTGATGAGGCCGATATCATTGATCTAACCATCCTTTCCGAGTCGGAAGCGAGTCGCCCGCCGAGCCCTCAAAAGATCATTCAGTCTCCTCCTCCTCCTCTACCTCCACCACCACCTCCGCCGCCGCCGCAAATGGAAACAGTGCTTCCCAAAAGTGGGATTAATGTCCCCCCACCTATCGAGACACTTGGGAATATTCAAACAATTGGCGGTGTTTCACCCAAGAGATGGGTCAAGAAGAGCGATCGCTGGAGGCTGTTGATCTGTCTGATCTGGAGACTTGATCACTCTCGTCGAAGAGGCATCCTTGACCGCATTCAGTCGACGCAGCCCGATGTCATTTGGACGGAACACTTTGAGTCTTACATGACCGACCCGATCAGAAGCAAGGACGAGTTGACCCTCGAAAACAGCAGGACTGTTTCATTTGACTTCGTCCGGCTCTTCCACTGCTTCTTCCAGTGTCAGAACGTGGCGGAAGATTCAGTAATCAAGTTTAAGCGCAAGAAACTGAACAAGCGGCTTCGGAAGACACGCGGAGTATGGTTCAATCCCTTCTGCAAGTTCATTGAGATGGTCCTCCCCGAGTTCCCTCAGGACAGCCAAATTTACAGAAATGACGACCTCGATCCTCTTGACGCCGAAGAATTGGATGATGACCTGGGAGACGACGACCTGGACGATGACGATGATGTCCAATCGATGGCGATGCGAAAGGCACGGAAGAATCGCCCAGAGATCATTCGAGACAAAGCGGCAGTAGACCTCAGAGAGCGAGAACACCAAAGACTCGAAGAACAGGAAGCTCGCAGGAACAAGCTGCGAATGGACCTCAAAATACACGGCGTGACTTCAGACGACAAATCTCGCATCATCATCAACGAAAGTAAAGAAGAGGACCAAAGCCTTATCTACATCAACGAAGCGATTGGCCCCCGCATCAAGGAACATCAGATTGATGGTGTTCGCTTCCTATGGAACCAGATCGTACGCGATCCAGAGACCCGACAAGGCTGTCTGTTGGCTCACACAATGGGACTGGGAAAGACGATGCAAGTCATTACCTTTCTTGTTGCGCTGGCCGACTCGTCCAAGTCTAAAGATCCATCTGTGGTCGCCCAGATACCCGAAGACCTGAGAAAGGGGTGGACCTTGGTCCTTTGTCCACCCTCCCTGGTAGACAACTGGATAGACGAATTTCTCATTTGGGCCCCGAAAGGCTTGTTGGGAAAGCTGCGCAAGGTCACGGCAACTCTGAAAGGAGATGACAGATACGACACAGTTGAGGCGTGGGCTTCAGAAGGGGGCGTGCTTGTAATAGGTTACAACATGTTCAAAATCCTTCTCGAAATCCCCGGGGTATCAGAGCTCTTGGTTGACAAGCCTAGTATTGTCGTCACGGACGAGGCACATGCCTTGAAAAACCCAGAGACCAAGACTCACATCGCCTGCTCCCGCTTCAGCACCAATGCCCGCATTGCCCTCACAGGCACGCCCCTGCACAACAGCGTGCTCGAGTACTATGCCATGATCAACTGGGTTGCACCGAACTTCTTAGGCCCGTTGGGAGAGTTCAAGCTCATCTACTCCTTGCCAGTTGAACAGGGATTCGACTTCGACAGTGGCCCAATTGAGAAGAGAAGAGCTTTGACGAAACTTGCTGCTCTCAAGAAACTGGTCGCACCCAAGGTTCATCGCCGCACGACAGCCGCGCTCAAGGATAGCCTGCCGCCGAAATACGAGTTTGTCATCTACGTTCCACCTGGGGACGTCCAGAAAAAGCTCTACACTCTCTACCAGGAAGGCATCGGAGGCCAACTGGGAGACGCAAAGGCCGGCGTTCTCTCC